TAGAAGCCATAATCTTCCGGACGGGAAAAAGAATCACTAATGTATGACAAACTAAAGCTTTCAGGCATAACGATAAAAAATAAAAACAAAAATGAAAGTGCTACTGCAACTCCTTGTGTTTATTCCCAGATACTTTTGTCAATATATTGAAACAAGATACTTGATCAGATTCATCTTCAAGAATTCACCCCATTTGTTCCAATTCTTTCACAAACTTTTTTATGGAGGATAAAAAAAAATAGTAATATGTGCTACGTATTTTTATGAACTATAATATAGTATGTCTTTATAAAACCTTAACCACTATGACATTTCTACCCCATTGTTAGTTATATTTTGTCTTCTATTTATAGAGGTATATGTTATTTTACAAGAATAATGATGGACTTAGCAAATAAAATTGCAAGGAAATTCTACATTGGCTCTAATCAATTATCAACTTAATTTGATGAAAATTTTATGTACTTGAAAAAATTTCATATATGAAGGACACAATTCTTGTTGTGTGCCAACTTTGGGATTAGCAAGTGATGTTCTGGTATATGTTAATGACCAGTTATAACAACATGATTTAGCCTACTTCATTCCTTATTGGTAATTTTGAACAGTTAGGGTGAGATCAGACGTTATCTTAAATAATAAGAATATCTACAAGCATGCACATGAATATCTCAACCCATGCTTGAAGCACTAAGTGGAGTTTAGTTGGTTTTTTTACCTGAAGTTAAGATGTTAAAACTTGTGTATTATTTTTATTAGTCTTAGAAGAAACTTTGAATGTAATATCTGATGATTTTCATGAAATTATTAATCTTACATTGGTAGAAAATCCTGTTTAAAAGCTCCATAAAATGTTTTTATTGCCTTCTGCTAAATGATAATATAGTTTGTTAGTTTCTCTACCTTAAATTCTCATCTTCACTCTTTCCTTTCATTCTTCTCTTCTATCACTTCTTTGTTATTTGATACCAATGATGAGGTATAAAATATCACCTTGATTAGATTTTTTTAATATTTTAATAAAACCAAAAGTTTATTATGATCTTTAAAGACCTTCACATGGACAAAGTAAATGAGTTGTAAACATATTTTTTAACATTTTCGCCACTCAAACTCTCATACTGAATATAAGACGTAATAAGCCTAACAAATTGAAAACATGTACTAGGAGTTTGTACAATTGATGGAATAAGACATCCTTAGCAAGACACACTAAACAACCAACTAATAATAAAATAAAAATTAAGAGTACGTCTTGGACAAATAATTCAAGCATAGTTAAATTCATATTTGAGTTGTGGTAGATTCAATCAAGACCATAAATGTTCCCCAGTGACACTCAAAAAATTTATGAGAAATTGTGAGATAACATCTACATTAGCAAACAGAGAAATAAACTTATAATAAAATATAGGAAGTAGAGGAGGATGTGATTAAATCAATTGTCCATCTATTTAACAGAAACTAGATATCGCAAATCACGATTCAACAATCATTGAAAAACTTTATTTTATACAAATCTATGTTAAACATAAACCTAAAAATCTACACAGTCATTGACTACCTAGAAAGTAGAATATTTTACCTGGGAATACAAAAAAATGAACAAGAAAACTGAGTTATGCGACAATATTGAAACCCAAACAACAAAGAGAAGATGGAGACTGATAAGATTGAGACTGCTAGGGTTAAGCATCTATCCAAAACAACAGTTAGTGATGCTTGATTTACTCAAGAAAGACGATCGGTGAGCATGAATTTCAGGGAGAGCAGCGTGATATGATAATCAAATAGTAGTATTAGTCATCTTCGTTGTCGCTTTAAACATGTGAGTGAATCGATTTTGACAAAATAGGGTTTTTTTTATTTGGGGGGGGGGGGAGTAGAAAAGTACAATAAAAAAGAATTGATGGGAAAGATTAAATTTTATAATAATTAGTTTTAATTCATTTTAGTGACAAACTATTTTTATTATCAGTAAAAGAATATCTTTTATTGGCTAACAATTATTTGTCACTAGTACATCAGCTGAAAGATTTCATTAACAGGAAATTTCTTATTGCCATTAAATAACTGTCGTTAAATTATTCTTTTGTAGTAGTGAATCCTTGATCCCCTAGAAGACTTAAGTCACCCTCACGACCCCTCCCACGACATGTCTAGACCTTCACGAGCCGTCTAAAGGCTCGTGGAGAGGGTCCTTGTTTGGGAAGTTTTGAGGAAGCCATTTCCTTACCACCACGAATGTCCCACGGTCTATGGTGCACCACACGAGTTGTGGTTTCTTTCACGAGCCGTCTGGACCTTCATGGACGGTGCCAAGGTTATTTTCTCTAATTCTTGACTTCCCCACATAGACCTGGCTTAGCCTACTAGATTCCGAGGTGTTACACCTTATTTAATTCAATATCTCTTTGATTAAATTTGTTACATGACGAGACAAGTATGTAATAAAACCTATATGCTTATTAATCAAATCTTATATACAACTATATGAGATAGCTTAATTAATTAAATGATGTTGCTTTCCATGTTTTCGGAACAATGTCAGAAGTGTCATTCATCATTTCAAGAAAAAAGATTATTTAATGGGATACTTAACGAATAAAAATTGTGTGAATCTTTGTGCTTTACATGACATGTGTATGTGTATTATACTATTACTACACCCAAAAAAATTTTGGAAAATATTTCAAAACAACAATATTTTGACATTTAATAGGATCCCTTAACAATACTTTCAATACTTATTAAAAATAACAATATTTTAGTTTGTTATGGATTTATTTATGTATTTTTTTTATTTTATTTAATTAGAAAGAATATAAATCTTTAACATTAGAATGGAGAAAATCATGGAGAATATATTTCAAAAATTTAAAAATCACTTAAATCTCTTATTACTAATTTGTTACAACTGGAAAAATATGAAGTGTCATCTCTCTCTTGTTCTTCTAAACATTTTTCAGCATTGCTCTGCATGTTTTTAATATCCATTTTCGAATAACTTATTGAAATTGAATTTAAGTATTCGTTGATTTGTTCCACTTTTGTTGGATATTTTTTTTATTAATCAATTTTTATTCAGATCCCGTTATCGATTTTTTGATTCTCCATTGATAATTATCATCCTTCATAGAAGACAAGTAAATTGATCATCATTTATGAACAAATCTCATCTAAGAATTTTTATTTTTATTTGTCAAGAGTCATGGATTAATTGTAAAAAGAAGTCCATCATCCTTCTCTTCTAAAATATACAAAATTTTATAACGATCAAAATTATGTGCATCACTTTTAAAATTCAAAATTGTATCTGCTCATCATCGTTTTTCTTGAAAAGTTCAAAATTGTTGATAGATCTTTAAAACAATTTTGAGATTCAAAAGTGAAGAAATTAATTGTTCATGTTCCTCCAAAATTCAAAATCGATGATTGATCAAAGAATGTAATTGAAATATACAATCAAAAAATCACATTTATTTTTCAAGATATGATGGATCTCGTATTATCTCAAAGAATTCATCAAAATTAGTGGTGATGCAGCATGAGAGTAGATTTTTGAAAATTTATTAAAAAACAATTTTATTGTTATGATATTGTACATTGGAGGAACACAAATTAGTTTGGATGCCAATTTGATGATATTATGTATTGAATTATTAGAATATAAATTTATTTTAAATATAACTTTGATGATGTTATCCCTATTTTATATTGAATTATTATGATTTTGTATATTGAACTATTAGAGTATAAATTTGATTGGAATACAAATTTGTTTTACAATTATAGGCAAAAACTTAGAGAATACAACTTTTAAAATACAAATCAGGTTAAAATACACTTTTTCTTTGATCAAAAGTTACAAATAAAAGTGAATATTGAATTTAATCAACTATTAGGAAATAACTTTTTGAATACAATTTTCGAAATACAACTTTTAAAATATAAAATTAGTTTAAAATATATTTTTTTGCTTAATCAAAAGCTAAAAATAAAATTACACAAGAACAAATAACTGTTATACAACATATATAAAATACATTTATTTCGAATAAAATATGTTTGGTTGATAAATGATTTAATCATAGCATACCAAATGATTAATTTGAATGCACATGAATACAATATGCTTAAATAAGTATAATATTGCTGAAAGATATAATAAAAATATAAAAAATACACTATATATACTAATATGAATACAATTTAAATAAGAATATATATATCATTTTAGTCGTTTATACTTTTATTTAAATAAATACAATATTCTTAAAATAAAATTGACATATAAAAAATACAACTGACAATACTAATATGATCAAAAATTAAGTATGAAATGAAATAAATTATATATTAACTTAAATTGAATAAATGTAAACACCGAAATACAAAACCTACCCTAAATAGTAATGAGATCTACTTTAAAAATCAGACTCAAAAGGAAATTTACTAAATAAAGAATTCTGAAGTTGAATAAATTTGGATACAAACTGTCAAATAAAATACAAATCAAAACTAATTTTTTTATAATCCAATAAATACAAATCATAAAAAGTTATCCAATTAAATGAGAATAGGATGCAAATATTTTATTTGATCTTTTTCCATTTTAATAATATCAATAATAAAATGATATGAAAGAACAAGAAGGGGAATAAAATTAATGAATAGAGAGAAAGTGAAATTAATAAAGAGGGACAATATAATGTATTTTAGGAGAATAATTATAAATATATAATTTGCTATAAAACCAATATATGAGAGAATCATGTGATTAATGTGAAATAAATTAGGAACTAAATTAGGATACCTTATACTTTTTAAAATATTACTATAATGACATCATTAATAATTATCTTAAAGTGTTTTTTTTTAAAAATTATGTTTGAAATTTTGACTAGTTAGATAATTTTTTCTTTTTTTTTAATATTTTACAAAAAAGGCTAAATCTCAGCCTAGCCCAGCCCACCTAAGAAAATGTAAAAAACCTAAAACATAAAAGGAGGGGGCTCAAAAAATGTTCTCAAAAGGGAAATGAAAAATTCAAGAAGAGGTGCCTCCTTCTGTGACCTTCTTCGTCGAGGTAAAATGGCTGACAGTTTATTTTCTTTTCTTTCATTTCTATTCCTGTAGCTTTGCTATTTCAACCAATCTGAATCAAAAAGAAATCAAAATCTTTGGATCATTTGCTTATTGAGTGTTTTGTACTTAGATCTGACTTGATTTTGCTCCAACCTTGTGAAAAGGGAAGTGAAAAGAATTCCAAAAGAAGTTGCCTCCTTCAATGACCGTCTTCATCATCGATGACTTCACCGGAGGTAAAATGGCTATCATTTTATTTTATTTTCTTTCATTTCAATTTCTGTAGTTTTTCTATGTCATCTATTTCAACAAATTTGAATTGAAACAAACTAAAATCTTTGGTACATTTACTCATAGAGTTCTTTGTACTTAGATCAGACTGTGGTTTTGCTATGTCATCAGTTTTTATATAGTATGTTACATAAGTTGGACCAAAATTCCCTTTAAAAACATAATCAAATACATTTAAAACAACCTTAATTAGGTAGTTTTCCATATAGATCTTATCAAGTGTATGTACTTGTGAAGGAAATCCATGAAAAGTGTTCATTTTTGTGGAATTTCCTTCATTCAATGATATAAAATTAGGCTAAGGAGATGAATATTTTAAAGAGATCATACATCCTTCTCCTCTAGGTCACAATGCTCCATATTCATCTTATTTATTCTTTTCCATATTTGCCAGTATACCATATCAGGAATAGTTTGTAAAATTGATTTAATTCTACTAGAGATCTCAATATTCTAGTTAGGTGATATTGCACAAAAGTACCATCTACTCTAGGATAAATAACAAAATAGTTCAGGTATTTTAAGCAGACTCACTAGTAATAAATACTTTCTTTATTCCAATTTATATAACTCGTTTTTCTGTTTAGTCAGTCTTAGAAAGAATTGACTCATTTCTATATTTAGTATCCACAACTGAGTTTTAAGTTTGGGAGTAGTCATAAGTGATTGGACAGTTTATGGAGCTACAACCTATCTTTGTAGTAGAAGCAAAGTGGTGGCAACTAAGGTGGTTCTAGGAATGATTATTCTGAACAGGTTGACTAACTCAAAAAGGTGTTGTTTTGGTAGTTTAATAGAGAGTTGATGAGTGTGATTGAATCTATGAAGCGCCAAATTGAGAAAGAAAATGCAGCATTAAGTGCTGATGTTGATGATGGTAGCTTGGATGGAAATAATGAGATTCTAGCCGAAGAAGATGTTGAAATAGATAAAAGTGTGAAGGATGATAAAAAAAAAGGTGCATAACCTATCAATGAAACTGAAACCAAGCAGACTCACAATAGGATGAGATCCAGTAGTATTGACAATGTATCACCCAAGAAACCCATTGACAAATCGGATTTTGTGCATAATCTTTAGGAAGTTAATCCTGCCCATACCTGAGTATTCAGTTTGCAAGTAGACACAAGTGACTGGTTGGTTGATGGACCTATAACCTATATTTGAAGAAGACGCAAAATGGTGGCAACTAAGCTTGTTCTGGAATGATGATTCTGAACAAGCTGGATGGATCATTGTTTATTGTGGATAGGTTAATATTAGTTTTGGACCCATATGAATTTGGTGCATTGTTAAATTCCAATTCCATAGCAAACTTGCTTTGATGTCAAAGCCTACTGGCACCCAATTGGTATTCAAATATAATCTAAAACCCAAACGTCCTTCTTTGAGGAAACACAGCTTACTTCATGATACCCAGTGTTTACTCTTGCCCTCATCTTTGCTGCTACATAAGAATCTTTTGAATATTTTACAAAGTTCGTAAATATTGAACTTAGGTGGGACCTCAGCAGAAAACAGATACAAAGAGATGCAAGGTGTTAAAGAAAATAAATATCCATCATTAATGGATTCAATTTATAATTTTAATCTACTATCCAAAAAGATTACAATAGAACACCAATTGGTTGACATTAAAACAAGTTTCTATGCAGTTGGAATTTTGACTAATGTACCAAGTTCATACAAGTACAAAACTAAAATTAACCTAATACTACCCAACAACAAACCAAGTTCATACAAGTACAAAACTAAAATTAACCTAATACTATCCAACAATAAACATGAGAGCCAACAGTTTCCACAATTTTGCTTCTTCAGGTATGGCACGATCAACTTCCTCAAGATTATGCACAGCATCAGATTTGTCAATAGACTTCTTGGGTGATGATGCATTGTCAATGCTGCCAGATCTCTTCCTCTTGTTAGTCTGCTTGGCTTTAGTCTCATTGACAGGCTATGCACCTTCTTCATCATCCTCCATACTTTTATTTGTTTCAGCTAGAATCTCATTTCCATCCAAGCTACCATCATCTACATCAGCACTCAATGCTGCATTTTCTTTCTCAATTTGGAACTTCAGAGAGTCAGTTACATTCATCAACTCTCTATTAAGTTATACGCGTAGATATTCACATATAAAACTGAGCAGGTCACATGAAGTTGTACCTGGGGATTCTGGAGGAAATTAGATATATCAGTTGGGCATGATGGGCATTTAACTATATTTTTCTGCGATCGTAATGTACGTGTGCCTTCACACGTCCTTTGTCTTGTAAAGGATTGACCTGCAAAGGCACCATCCTAACATGCCTTGCAGAGGTTATGCACACATGGAGTAGTAACCGGTTTATTCATCACTTCTGACAAAAATGACATGTAAACTCTGCACAATCAAAAACCTCATCTCATTATAATAAGAAATATAGTAAAAGAATATGCAATCACTAACAATCACACAAAATACATCGTAAAATCAGATAAGATTGGAAAATATCTAATGAGAAGTGACGAATGATAGGTGTAACTTTCAAGAGCCTCTGCTTTACAGACATTTGAAGTCTCTTTGGTATGACTTGTCTCACTTTTGTTCCATCTTCATTTTCACATTGAACTGGTTTCCTACTAGGAGCAGGAGCCCTTTTCCACATCCAGCAACTCTTCCTCCTGTAAAACAGAAAGAACTATTACAAACAATACGAGCATTTGTGTAACTTTATGATTTGCATATCAATAAGTTTATAAAAAAACATTTCACTGCATTTGCCGAAAAAAAGGTTAAGTTACCAATTTGATTGGCAAAAAATTAGTAATAATCAGATGGACAACATCCTTTGTGATAATATTAATTTTATAATATTAATTAAGTGTAATGCAAAGTATACAAAATATTATGTTACAAAAGAATGATTTATCCATTCCAAATTACATTTTTATTAAAGTGTGATGTAATGACTTTTAATGTCATTAAGATTTCACGTACGTCTCTTAATAATTCACTTCTTCTCTTTGAAACTTCTATTTGCAACTCCTCTATAAGGATGTAGTTTGAGTGAGCATAAAAACAGACTACCAACATAAATAAAGAGAAAAGAAAAAAACATTTTCTTCCCTTTTCTTATCCTTAGAATATTTTTTGGGCAATTGGTTTTGAGCAACCTCCAAACTCTTAACCACGAGTGCATGTGTTTGAGAGTAACTATGGAACCTTAGGGAGCGATCGACTGCAGCGATTTGCAACAGAGTCGAGTAGAAATCACTTTCAAGGCAGTGGCTTGCCATGACGCAATGTTTGATATAAGTTATTTTCTATTTTATAATTCTATTCTAATATCAATATTGTAGTATTTTTCCTAACAATTTGAAAGCAATTTTCTAACATACAATATTGATAATGACTATTTCTTTGAACAAAACTTCTAATGATTTGTCAAAACTTGAGACTTTGGATGGAAATAATTTTAAGCGATGGTCACAAAAACATTTAACTTTTTTTGAAAAATAAGAAGTTTATTATGTTTTATTTAAAGAACCTTCTACAAATGGTTCTAACACCACTACTAATTCTAGCAATGTTATAACTGTTGATGATGTTGTTAAAAGAAGTTTGAAAAGGATAACAGAACTGTGAGAGGGCATTTGTTAACTCACATGACTAATCCTTTATTTGATTTATTTGTTACCTATTAATCTTCCAAAGAAATATGGGATAGTTTGGAAAAGAAATATGGTGTTGATGATGCAGGAAATAAAAAATATATTGTCGGTCAATGGATTAAATTCCAAATGGTTGATAATAAACCAATAATAGAAAAAGTTCAAGAATATGAGAGCTTGTCTGCTAATGTTCTCAACGAGGACGTGAAGATATGTGATATATTTGAGGCTAATGTTCTGCTTGAAAAATTTCCACCAGCTTGGAGTGATTATAGAAATCAATTAAACATAAGAAAAAGAATTTAACCCTCTGAGAACTTCTTAGTCACATGAGGACAGAAGATGCGTACCGTCTCAAAGATAAGATGGGAGAACTTTGTCTTAATTGTTCTAAATCTGATCTTGTTGAATCATCTGGTACTGTTGTGAAAGACGGGTTCAAAGAAAAACAGAAGAAAGTATCGAAAAAGGAACTTATGAAGAAGAAAAATCAATCAACAAGCCGGAGTGTCAAATTAAAAATGTAAGGGCTCTTGTTTTGTTTGTGGAAAAGTTGGTCACAGAGCTGTCAGGTTCTATCAAAGAAAAGGGCAAGACTAAAAGAAGGAAGGACAAAGTGATGTCCAAGACAATCTTGCTGAAGGTAATTAAGTGATTGTTGTTGTAGTCGTTGAGGCAAATCTGGTGGCAAATAAAATTAACTGGGTGCTAGGCACAGGCACCTCGTTCGTCACTTAGTTAAATCATCTACATTGATTTTTGGGGGGTTTTAGACTCAAACGACAGATGAACAATATGGGCGGTAGACCAGAGTATGTTCATTGATTGTGAACGCCCGTTGCACCTTCAAATTTGTGAAAAGCTTATTTCTGGTCTGTTTTAGATACAGGGTGTTACATTATGTCCCCCTTGGGAACATTAATCCTTCAATGAAGACTAAACTGGCTGATAGAGGGAGAGAGATGCAATCCCTTCTGAGAACTGAGTTTCTGACTGGGTTGAGTTCCAAGAACATGCAAATATGCTTAAAATGCAGGTATAAGCTGAGGTAACATCATTGGAAGGGTGATCTCACGCATTAATGGATGAAAAACCTAAGAGGAACTATTACCTCAAGATGGAGCGGAATCGGAAGGAAATAGGTGAGGATAGTTGGCTTTCATGGATGTTTCTTTTTCCCATGTAGCTCCCTCTAAGTACTGACTCCTCCACAAAACCTTGACTGAAGCGACTTCTTTGTTTCTCAACCTTTTAACCTGACGATCAAGAATCTGAACTGGTACATCTGCATAAGAAAAACTTTCACTGCCATAATCTCTAATGGTAGTACAAAGGCTGGATCACCCACACACTTCTTCAAGAGCGAGATGTGGAAGACCGGATGCATTGTTGCTAAGTCTCCTGGTAACTCTTATTAATATACCACTTTGCTAATCCTTTACAAGATCTTGTAAGGGCTTACATATCTAGTACTAAGTTTCCCTTTCATGCCAAATCTCATCACCCCTTTCATAGGTGACACTTTCACGAAAACCCAATCATCAACTTGGAACTCTAGTTCCCTTCTCCATACATCTGAGTATGATTTCTGACGACTCTGGGTTGTCTTAAGACTTTCTCTAATGAGTTTTACTTTTTCCATAGCATAAAGGACTTAATCTGGTCCTATCAAAGTAGCTTCACCTACTTTAAACCAACCAACGGGAGATATATATCTACGTCCATACAAAGCCTCATAAGGTGCCATCTGAATATTGGAATGGTAGCTATTGTTGTAGGCAAAATCAATTAGAGGAAGAAGATCATCCCAACTAACCATGAAATCAGTCACACAAGCTCTCAACATATCCTCTACGCTCTGAATGGTACACTCTCCCTATCAATCCGTGTGTGGATGAAATTTTTTCCTAAGGTTTACTTGAGTACCAAGACCCTTTGGAAATGACTTCCAGAAATAAGAGGTATACTGAGGACCTCTATTTGAGATGATAGACAAAGGAACCCCATGTAACATCACAATTTAATTAATGTAAAGCTTTGATAGTTGTCTGCCAAATCTATAGTCGTGACCACAAAAATGCGAAAATACTAAGTCTTCCTTTCAACTATCACCCAAATGGAGTCATCTTGTCCGCGAGTACGAGGTAACTCTTTGATGAAATACATATTGACCAAATCCCACTTCCAAGTAGTAATATCAATCTCTTAAGTCATACCGCATGGTTTATGATGTTCTACATTGACTTTGTGGCAATTGGGGAACCTACTCACAAAGTCTGTTATATGCCTCTTTATGCCATTCCACCAATTCACTTCCCGAAGATCGTGGTACATCTTAGTGTCACCTGGAGGAATAGAATACCTGGATTTATGGGCTTTTACAAGAATTTTCAGTGTCAACTCGCCCATATCAGGAACACACAATCTACCCAGGTAGCGAAGTACACCATCTCCCAATTTATTGACTACGTAATTGTGATATTATGCTTAAGATGAAATGATATAAGGTTGGTTATGAAGTACCTATTTGCCTTATTATGATATGATGATGATGTCATGATAATCTCACATACGAGGGTTGACATGAATGGATATTCTCATGTAGTTTTGAATGAGATAATGACAATGACTATACAAGGGATTAGATTTATGACCTACATTAATCTATGATGATTAATAGAGACATTAAAGATATTTCAAAAGGGACTGTAGCTTAGCAGTGAGTGCACTAGAGTGAGGATTGTCCCTTCCCACATAGGGAAGGTAGGATCCCTAATGTACTCTTAAGTTTGGAGACTATAATGCATGAATAATAAAAATGGTACCAACTATATCTCCTAGTTCTTGAACTATATTCCCCATATAGGAATACTAGCTAGTGGATTCACGTAGTTGCTAAGTTTATATTTTGGTACTAACTTGGCAAATAGTCCGCCTTCCATCAGTGTAGGGTTTCATGACACCAGATTCCAAATTAGTTCATGTGGTTTGTGTCGGTTAAGGAAAGATGTTACCAAAAGGTAAAATGAATTAAAGAATAAACTCTAACTAGGATAACCTAAGGAGTTTAGGATAGTCTAGGTAGAGGTATGGGGCTCTACCTAAACATTGCACTAGTTAGACTTGAGAGAAGTGTTAGGAGGATGTTCTTATATATGAATATGGTTATAATGGTATATGTTATGTATATGATGATATTTCACATTGATGATACTACATGATGATTGGTTTCATTTATGAATATGTGTTGATTTCTATTTCTAAAGTATGATGATATGTACTCTTAAATGATATGCTATGTGAAGTTTGATATTAGTCATGGTTCTTATTAAGTTTAATTGATTGAGTAAGGTTATCATGATATGATTGGTCATTTAACTTGTTGAATTAATGAGGGTTCATGTTAATTGTCTTGCTTTGGTTATGTTGTAATGAACTCTTATCAATGCTTGTTGCTTCTATAACATGATGATAGAGTTGTGTTGACTAAGTGTCCCATTAAGTGATATGAATGTTGACTTGACTAGACATAGCATTGTTTGTCTTGTGATGTACATGCTTTTGGTTTAATGAATATGCCTTATTGATTGGTATGGTCTTTCATGAATGTGCACAAGGGTTTTTAAAGGTAAAATAATATGTTTTCATGAAAGGTCCTTTTTAAGAATGATTTTATGATATGTGTGCATATAGTCTCATACATAGTAAAAGTGGTGTACTAAGCCCATTATCTCCCTTTTCCCCCAACATTATAGGTTCCCATCGTTGAAGAACTTTGATTCGACTTTAAAGGATGACTTTGATATCTCATTCATCTAAGTTGGGTAGGTCTTCACTTTCCTAGGGCAATGAATATATCAAATTTATGAAGTAGTTCTATTTATACGACTCTTATGTTCTTTCCTTTTCATTTGAGTACTTGGCATTGTCTATACTATAAGTAGGTCTTATTGTATTTATGTCTTGGCTAGGGCCAAATTGTTATACTCTTGTTATATGGTTATGAGATGAGACATTCATTTGATACTATATTATATCTTATGTAGCAAAGTGCAATTAAAGTATAAGAATATGTAATCTTTCTATACAAAAAGTCTATGTTTACTCAATGTAAACATTATGTGTATATAGAGGTCTATATAAACTTCAATGAAGAAGTAATGAAAAGCTTTAAATTTTCCTTTATTTTTGAGCTATGAATGTAATGATATAAGCTAAGAGGCTAGTCTTAGTCCTCAAAAAGGACGTCGATGTCTGTTACATCTAGGGGGTGCTCCTCAGATGTGGCAAAATTAGTATTAGAGCATAAGGTTAAAAGTCATTGAGCCGATGTCTCTCTATCAACACGTGTATGTAGATTCATATTCATAATTGTGAAGCTTTCCTTACTTATGGATAGGAACCTCTGTGAGGCTTAGGAGACTCTCGCTTTCTTGAAAATCCAATATCGTGCCTTGAGAGTGTTGTAATCTATGTTATCTTAAAATCTAATCTTTTTATTGTGATTATGGACAATGATTAATCAAAGGAACGTGGCACGAAGACTTGATGAAGAGATTGCCAATGTGGGAGATCCTCTCTGAGGTAATCAAGTCACTTCTCTTGAAGAAGATGTTAATAATGACCAAGCTCTAGTCAATGCTCCTCCTTTGATAGATGCCGACCTAATTGCTGCCTTTCTCCAAATGGATAAACCCACTACTACACAAGCACAAGCATCCTTACTCAAGCCCAATCCATGGCGGACCAAGCTAACTGCGAGGTTCTACCCCGAGCAAATCAACATGTTTGAACCATGGACTTTCATTTGAGGGATTTCACTAGGATGAATCCCCCTACGTTCTATGTGTACAAGGTTGAAGAAGACCCCCAGGAGTTCATCGATGAAAACTACAACATCGTCTATGCTATGGGGTTGACTACTAGTGATAAGTCCGAGTTAGCCACTTACCAACTCAAAGATGTGGCCCAAGCTTGGTACGTCCAATGGAGAGAAAATAGGCCTTTAAGGGGTGGACCGGTGACTTGAGAGGTTTTCAAAAGTCTTTTCTTAATACATTCTTTCCTAGGGACAAGCGGGAAGATAAAGTAGTGGATTTCATAAATCTTCGTCAAGGAGGTACGATTTTTCTTGGATACTCCTTGAAATTCACTAAATTATCAAAATATGCTCCTTCTTTGGTTTCAATTCCTAGGGAACGAACCGCTTTTTGACGGGAGTGTCGGATAACTTGCAGGTGGAATGTCATTCAGCTATGCTACATGAAAATATTAACATTTCTTGTCTCATGATTCATGCTCAACAATTGGAAGAGGCAAGTGCTAGAAGATAAAGTAAGATGCTAAGATGGTAAGACCTTTTGATAGTTGTTCTTCAAAGGGTCAGCTAGATATCCATGACAAGCCTAGGTTCAAAAAGAGGTTTTTGAATCACGTTCCTTTCAAGTTCCCAAAGGCTCATGGTTATAGGGATTCTAACCCTAAGCCTCAAAAGGGAAGAGGTAGTAGCTCACATAACAAGAAGTGTACTTGTGTCAAGTATGGAAAAGGTTATTTAGGTGAATACTTAGTTTGAAAGGGCAATTGTTTTGGTTGTGGCAAGAGGTGACACAAGGTTAGGGATTTCCCTAATGTTAAAGTTCAAGACAAGGGAAGTGGTCAAGCTCAATCAAGTGGATTAAATGGTACTCCAAAAAAATCACTTTTATAATCTCCTCTCTAGCGGTTAGAAAGAGACTTCCCCTGATGTAATGACCGGTATGTTCAAAAGTCTTCTGTATTGATGCATATACTTTACTTGATCCCGGTGGTACCTTTTCATTTGTACTTGTCACATCTGGGGAGCACCGCCTAGACGTAACCACCGTCGACGTCCTCTTTAATGACTAAGACAAGCCTCTTAGCATACATCATTACATTCATAGGTTAAACTTCGGAAAAATTTAAAAAATTTCATTACTTCTTCATGGAGGTTTGCATAGAACTCAACATACACATAATATATTCATATCAAGTATACATAGACCTTTCGTATAGGAAGATTACACAATCTTCTACTTTTATTGCAAATAGTATATATATAAGATAGAACATAGTGTTTAAAGAGTTTTCATCTCATAACCATCTAACAATATTATAGCAATCGGTGAATATCCCATACATCAATGTACTAGAGAAAAATTTAGGCTATACAATCCGTACTCAAATGAAAACGGAAAGAACATATGAGTCTTAAAATTAAAATGACTTCATAAGCTCTAGTATAAGACCCCCAAAATGAGTTAGAGAGTGTAGAGCCTACCATTTTTGTCTTCAATTTCTAAGGTCCTAAAATTTCTCATAATATGGTTTATAGGCAGTGTGTTAGGTTTGAGGTGATTTGGAAGTCAAACATCAAGGGATGACCAAGACGTTCGACGACTACTCGCATATCTGCCTCATGTTTCTATGTATGCTTATATTTGTATGTCATGATCTTATTAAGTCTCAAAAATATTAATAATGATGTTTAATGGTAGTATATGGAGTTTGGTGAAGTTTGAAGGTCAAATTCCCAAGAACGTCCAAGACGTTCGTAAGATGGCCTTGAGATATACATGAGTGTGTCTTGATGGGGCCTTACATGTTTGGATGAGTTACGAGTATTTGTTTTGGGTTGTACTTATGTGGGAGGTCTTAAAATTTTTAAGGTTTGTATTTACATTGGAAACGTCCATGTACGACTTCTAAAGGGCCCCACAAAAGGGCCCACAAGAAGGACTCAAGGCTGGTTGAGACACTACCTTGGCAGTGTCAATCGACAAAACCAAACGACGGCCACTTGGTTGAACAACGGCCCGTTGGTCAGCTCTAGTTTATGGAAGCTTATCCTGGCCAAGTCTCAACCCAATAACAGGCCAAGGTCTAATCAACGGAAGCCACAGACGGCCCGCGATGGTGATTCATCGATTGTGGCCTGCAACATTGCCTTGCAACTATTTTATTTAAGGGGTGAATGGGAAATTCACCCCAAGTCACAAAATCACTCTAATTGATTAATTTACCTATTTTGGGTGTATTTAAAGGATAAAACACGGCAATAACCCATTCCCAATCCCTTCTCACGAAATTAAACCTTCCCTCCAAAACAAATTATCTCTAGAAAGCTCCATTGTTGTTGAAGCTCAAGAACAACTTTTAAATTTGATTCTCATGGGTTCTTCATAAATTTGTATAGGTTTTAAACTAGACAAAGGTAGCGATCCTTCATCTATATTTATTCTTCCATCTAGAGTGTTAATGACAAAGTTCCAAAGTTTCTTCTACAATCTAGCCATAGGTTATTTCCAAAAGTGCTTTAAATGGTCAAATAATGATGAATTAATGTTAATGTATTGGTTTGAACGTGATATTACTTCAATTGCATGATGAACCTATGTTCCTTCCCTAAATCGATTTTGTCCTTCCGTGGGCTTTGTGATCATGACTTATTAATGTTTTAATTGTGATTCTCTTACGTTGACTTTTCTATATCTACTGTTATTTATGTGAATTATGGATGGATTGATGATAAATAATCCATATGGATTAATGTAGGAAGATTTTAACATGGTTAGCTTAGAATTCCATGATTCACAATAATATTGCCTTTTTTTATGAATTAATGTAGAATTTGAATAGGTGATGATGATTATATGTTATGTATTCCTTACTAGGATGACTTCATAGATGTACTAATATGGGCGACGATATGGGACCTTGTCTATGTATTGCGCATGTGTACCTTGATAGGATAGTTCCAAGGTTTGGTTTTTATTGCATGAAAATGAATGTATGGACATCTTATGAACAATATTTACATGATATGAGGAAGTAAGAATGTGCATAGTGTCTTAGTGGGTTTGTATGAAAAGATTGTTCATATTGTTATACCTACAGACTTATGATTTGACATATGAACATGTGTGACAATTATGTGTTATGTGAATGTTTTGCTCACATATATGTACACACAGACACATGAATGATGATCTTGTAAGTAGAGGGGCCTTGAGAAGGGTGCCCAAGATTAATCTAAAACTAGATAGGTACTTGAATATGATATAATCATATGATAGATGAATATCCTAAGCCTATGTTTTATAAAAAATTGTAATAAAGACTTTTAAATAAAGTGAACTTAGCTTAGCACCGAGTGAACTTGACATTGAGAGATGTTGACTTTCCTTGGAAGAAGATTCACAGTTTTTCCCGTATAGAGTGATGACTTCCCTTACATGAATACTCACCTATGGACCCAGATGAGGTGTTGACTTCCGTTTGAGGAAGGTTCACCCAGCCCAATTACCAAGTGTTATTAAGAGAGAAGACCTATCTCTTAGTTTCATAAACTATGCTTGCCACATAGAATCTAGGAAAGTGAATTCACTTTGGATGCTAGGATATATGTTAATGTTCTACCTTGGCTAGGTAGGAACACCTTTCATTGGTGTAAGAATCTATAACACCAAATTCCATGTTTAGCACCCATGGTCTTAGTGTCGGTTAAGGCTATAGGTATTCTAAAGTAAAATGGATAGTGGAAGTAAATGACTGGAAACCTGACTAGGATTACTTAAGGGAGGTTACTTCGTATAGGTGGAAATAATGAACCCATCTAGACATTGCACAAGTATCTCCTTAGGAAGTCAAAGTGACCTATCGTGTATGATTATGGATATTCTTTATGCATGGCATGTTTGTATTGTCTACTAATTATAAAGATGAGCATGGTATGAGTCTATATGATGTGACCTTATCCTTGCATGCACGATTTTTTTAGATGACTATATGTTAAAGGTCTTGTATTGGCATTAATGAAGTTGCCTTCACTTAATTGTTGATGTATAAAATTAATGTTAATGTTTGTGGTCTCATGAAGGGTTTACTAAGTATGTGTGGGGTTATGGATCTTCACATGTACACTACACTAATAGACTAAGAGTTGGGTCATGAACAAGGTCTTAAAATGATGAGTATGAAATGAAGTAAATATGTGTAAATAGAATATAGCTCAAATACATAAGCAGATCCCTAAATTTGTTGAGTTTTTTTCTCTCAGGTATCTCAACTATGTCATTTTCCTAATGAATCATTCAATCCCCATAATTTGTTCCGTTTAAACAAACATCGATAACTGATGTGGAACCAAATTTGTGAGGGATATTGATAGAGGATACATATGTTGTTCCACAACTCATTAGTCCAATTGATAGTTAAAATGTTCGAGAATAATTATATTTTACTTAAGTCATTTGAACACACTAGAAAACAAATGAGACTAACACGGTTTGTCTTCATTCATTTAATCAAAATTATTACAATTTGAACACAATTGAAGGCATTTACAATAGAAAAGCCGATAAAAATCAACCAACAGTGTTTTAAAGAAACAAATTATGTGTGGTTCAATGATCAATAGAAAAATGACGTAGTTAAGGTACCTGAAGGAAAAAACCAACAAGTTTCGGAATCTGTTTATGTATTTGGTCCTTATTATAGTAGTACTATGGTATTGGCTTAAATATATATTTGATATATTATGCTTATATGATTATATGTGTTGGCTAATGTAGGTTATATGTATGTTTCTTTGTGGCCTTAAGGTGATGCATTGCACCAACTATCACTAAAGGGTTACTTGGGAGGTCAAGGAATAAATGAAAAGGAAGCTCACTGTAAAATAGGATATAGTTCACTATAATGTGATTTAAAATGTAATAAATTCTATGTGTGATCTTATGTAATGTTTGGACTTTGAATATGTTAATACGAAAAATGTGAATGATATAAATTCTATTGGATAAAGTTTTTAATAAAGATTTACACAAAAAGGCAAGAAGTATGTTTTCAAGAAAATGTCCCTTTTAAATGAATGTTGTTGCATGGTTGCAATACATAGTGCATTCTTGTACTAATCCCATACTTGTCTACTTTTTATACAAAGTGTATGTTATTGATGCTCAAGGGATTTCTATATGATTGAGGAGATTTATATGTGATTCTCAAGCTCAAGGAAAGGAATCCTAAAGTCCAAGGATGTCCTACTGTTTAGTTACTGTAAAGTTTATTTAATATTGTATAGTTGTGTATTACGTCTTAAGGGTCGTGTCCCTAATGAACTCTAATGGAGTTGAGTCTAAGATGTCAAAGATACTTAAGGTATATGTATGTAATATGATATATATATCTGTGTGTGTGTGTGTGTGTGTGTGTTTGTGTGTGTGTGTGAAGTAAAGTTTCTAACATATGATGTGCTATGAAAAGTTATAAATTTTCAGCTAAATTTACTATGTTAATGCGATGAATGATAATTATGGGCTTGTATAAGACCTCCGAGAGGTAAAGTACGTCATGTTACTTTTAGGAGTTGCTCCCCAGATGTGACATCGATATTGGCATAGCCCTCGTAAAGTGAGGACCTACCTACTTGGATGATTGAGAAATTCCAAGTTTTTTCAAAGTCGTCTCAAATAGACCTCAACTATCGGAACCTAAATATTGGGGAAAAGGGAGAAAATTGAGTTAGTACACCACTTGTAAGCAGTACGAGATCATATGCACATATAATATCAAATATTGCTAAAAAGGGACATTTCATTTAAACATGTTATTTTACCTTTTTAAAAGTCTTATCCATAATCAATCCAACCTTACTAATCAACAAGACATATGCATTAAGTCAAAGCAAGTAACATGCATATCAACTTACTTACAACCAAACTGAATACAACCCTATCATCAATTAATAGCATCTAAAGCATGATTAAGAGTCATCATATCATAATAAAGCAAAACAACTACTCATGGATACTCATAATGTTAACCAATGCAATGACCAAGAAAAGGTCCATAACATTACACAATCAAGTAACTCAACAAGAACCATAAACAATATCAAACTTCACATAACATAACCTTTAAGGATATATAACATCATAATCTACTAATATAGACCAAATACACGTTCATAATAATAATAATCATCATCATATAATGTCATTTGCTTATAAGACAATCATTTTATCATCATTTGTATTTATTATCATATGCATACATAATATCAATCCTCTAAGGCTTCCCTCAAGGAAAACTAGTGCAAGGTATAGGTAGAGTCCCATAATTCTACCTAGGGTAAGTCAAACCTCTCAAGTCAGCCTAGTTGATTTATACTTTATTGCTTCATTTTAATTTAGGGAACACTTGCCTTAACCGACATAGAGTACAAGAGATAAGTGTTGAATCCGGTGTTGTGAAACCTAATATGATGGAAGGTAGTCTATCGGCCAAAGTAAAACCAAACATAAACATAGCTTTCTAGGTGGATCCACTAGCTAGTCTTCCCATAGGGGAAACATAGTTCAAGAACTAAAAAAAAGATACAATCCCTTAACATACACTTGGAAATTGGGGCCTCCTCTCATGGAAATCTATTGGATATGTATCCCTAATTTGGGAGTCAACACCATATGTGGAACTATACGGTGAATCTCCTGCTATAGAAGTTATAACCTCCATTGTCCAGTTCACTCGGTGCTAAGCTAAGTCCCTTATTTAAATGTCTTTATACCTTTATAATCAATCATATCTTAGTTTATGTCATCGGGTATATCCCATGTATAATCATCATCATATCTCAATAAGAATTTCATAGGTATAACTCTATTCATTACAATTCAAATAAGTGAAGTTAGAACATTTATAGATCACTTCATAATAAGGCACATTGGTAAATCATTCACCATCCTTATAATATTTACATCTTAGCCGACACCTCACAAATCATAGTGAAGACATTTCAATTCAATATCATTCAAATCCTATCAATTCTAATACAGGCAAACTCCAACACTATATCATGAATTAATCACAGTTAACCATAATGTGACATAAAGATTAGAGATCACAAGACTTACCAAGTCTCATTCATAATCCATCATCAAGGTATTAATATCAACCCTTAATTAAACCAAATAAGGGTCTAGTTTCATGATAAAACAATAAAAAACATAATAAGTTGGATAATTGAATCACTACATCACAATTCATCGCGAGTTCATAGCTTAAGACAAGATACTGAGGTTAATTCACAGCATACCTCATGACCTAGATCAACTTCTCAACAACTAGCATCATAGTACTATAATTCATCCTAATATATTCAATATTGATTCAGTAACATCATATAGTAGTAATTTAATTAATAACTAAGTCAATTGAATGAACATTACACAATTCATATCAAGATCATAACTTAGGGTTAAAAGGTGAAGGTCATCTTCTACAAACTATACCAAACCATCAAGATATATCAAAATTAAATTATAATAAATTTTAATATATTCATATTATCCAAATGAGATCATAAACAAATCATTTTATATCCTTAATTTCGAGATTGGATGAAACCCACTAGAAAACTCAACTTTTGAAATTACTTTGAAGGAACCCTTTTAGAAGAGAGGTCTCAAAGGTGAATTAGATACCACACCTTACTAATTGATGAATATTGATAGTGAAACATGAATTTTTACAGCCCTTAAACCCTCCCTTAGCTTGGTCTTCAATGGAGTTCTTCACTAGAGAGAGAAAGAAGAGAGAAGGAAGAGAGTTTTGATTTGAGAGTTATTAGTCTAATGGGATTGGGGTCTTTAAATGGGGTTAATTAAATTAATTATGATTCTTTTAACCCTTAAGTAAATACCTAATCCCTAAATTAATTAATTGGAATTAAGTCAAAACGTGCAGAAAACTCAGCCCTCATAGAAGAGACCTCGACAAATGGAACAACGTCAATAAAACGACGACCAGTCCTCCCTTTCGTACTGCACATCTGTCGATGAGTTCAAAGAGTGGTCCAAATTGAACATAAAATAAAATGTATAAGTGTTGGTCGATGATGGAATAGAAGCCCCGTCTAACAAACCTATGCCCCATTGATTACCTTTTGTAGGTGGGCACTTCCCAGGCAGTGTTTAACTCCAACGTGCAAGGGTCCTCCACAAGGGCCCTTTGTTGGTCATTGGGGAGTCGTACCTTGATGTTTTTACCATTAGTCAACTTAAATACATGTTATACACTGTTCCACCCAATTTCATGAATTTCTAACTCCTAAAAGCTAGTTAAATAGGCTAAGGCACCCTAGTAACTCCTTGAACTAGTTTATGGATGTCATAGACGTTCTTGGATGTTTTGGGGTCTACACTCACTAAATGACTTATATTAATTATAATGGACCTTAAAATAGTGTCTAGACCTTATGACACTTACATTTGGCTCTAGACACGTCTTAGTTCTAGAAGTTTTACAGTATCTCCCCTTCCCCTTAGGAACATTCATCCCCGAATGACACTAAAAGAATCTTTTGAAGGAAGGAATAGACTCATGATATCAGCCCAACCAACAACAATACATAATAATCATGAGTTACAACATAATTCATATCTTGTATACAAAGCAATTCAAAACTTTGATTACTACACATAAGGCTCAACATTACATTATGATAAATATCCTTCTCACAAAAACACGAACTCAACATAGCGTTTATGAGTCAATTATGCCAAAGTTCAACTTAGATACATGCTACATATCATTTCATAACTACTCACCCTATCAAAATACACAACAAGACTCAAAACAACCAATATTCCACATTATGGCCATATTTCACTGTAACAACATAAAAATGCTAATTTTGCAAAACTTCACCAAAAATCAAGAAATTTCAATCTTTAGTCATTATTTTCATTATCAGTAACAACAAATAACCTTAGATATTAAATATATGATGGTAGCGAGATTTTATGTCGTCCTCGGCCTCCCATGTTGAACGCTCAACTAGGTGATTCTTTTATAACATCTTTCCGGAAGCCACCTCTTTATTCCTCAATTTCATTACTTGCCTATCAAGGATTTGAACCAGAATTTCCTCATAAGAGAGGTTATCCTTCACACCAAGACCCTCAATATAAAGAATACGCTCGTGATCACCGATACACTTCTTCAGCATGGAAACATGGAAAACCGGCTGAACCCAAGTCAATTCACTAGGAAGTTTCAATTCATAGGCAACCTTACCAACCCTTCGAAAGATTCCATAGGTACCCACCTAACGAGGACTAAACTTCCCCTTCTTGTAAAATTTAACTACCCCTTTCATAGCTGATATTTTTAAATACACTTTATCACCTTCTTCAAATTGTAAATCCCTTTTCCTCTGGTTGGCATAATACTTTTGCCAATTATAGGCCATTTTCAACTGGTTCCTTATGATGAGAACTTTTTTATAGTCTTATAAATCAAAGTTGTACCACGAATAGAAGACTCACAGACATCAAACCACCCAATAGGAGATCTACACCTCCTACCAAAGAAGTCTTCAAAATGAGCCATGGATATGAATTATTGGAAACTACTATTGTAAGTAAACTCCACCAAAGGCGACTTCTTATCCTAACTTCCCTTGAAGTCGATAACACAAGCTCTAAGCATATCCTCGTGGGTTTAAATAGTATGCTCCACTTGACCATGTGTTTTGGGATGAAAAGTGGTACTCAAATTCACCGTAGTACCCAAACATTCATGGAATGACCTCCAAAACCTAGATGTGAATTTCGCACACCTATACGACATGATGAATAACATAATACAATGGCGACATACAATCTCATCTATGAAGATTTTTGAATTATACTCCGCCAAATAAGTAGAATTGACAGGGATAAAATGAGCGGACTTGTTAGACCAATCCACCACTACCCATATAGAGTCATATTGTTTTCGAGTCTTAGGAAAACCTACCACAAAATCCATAT